CCCAGATAAACAAACCACAGAGCAAGTCCACACTTTGCACAAGGATCATCCATGCAAAAAGCCCAGACGGGCTCTTGGCGGTGAGGACACAAAGCAGAGCAGCCCAAGGTGCCGGGTCAGGAGGAAAAGCTGCTGCTGATGCAGCATTCTGTCACACAGGGAGCAAAATGTTGGATTTAACCACACCTAATTATTAAGACACTTCTTAACAAAGCTCTTTGAAAGACCTTTATTTTGTTTCTTTGTTTGTTTTAGACACAGTCAATTTTTGGTAATGAAACACAAAAATAATTAGATTTTTTTTTTCCTTTAATAAAGCCTCGGGTAATGTCAGTGACAGATGCTGGTTACATAAATATGTGTTTATGTGCTCACCTAAGAAACTGCCTAAGAAATGCCTAAAAAACTCAGCAGATTCCCAAATCCAAGTGTGCCCATGGAAGGAGTGCATTAACTGCAGTGGGTGAGCTCCAAGTCCAAGCACCAGAAATTAAAAATTTCCTTTCCTGTGTTTTCAAAAGCATCAAAGCTCTTTGGAGAGAGATTTTAATGAATTGCATCCTCCCATCAACCCACAACACAAAGTTGGTAGGGCAGCAGTGAGGGGAAAGGAAGGTAAAATTAGAAATGGAAAAGGAGCAAATAAATCCTGAGTTTCATTGCAACATGTGGGGAAGGAAACAACTTTACCAAATTCCAAGGCAGGTAGGGATATTGCAAGGGACAGAGTATTAATTAAAAATAAAATAAAATAAAATAAAATAAAATAAAATAAAATAAAATAAAATAAAATAAAATAAAATAAAATAAAATAAAATAAAATAAAATAAAATAAAATAACATAAAATAAAATAAAATAAAATAATAAAATAAAATAAAATATAATAAAATAAAATAAAATAAAATAAAATAAAATAAAATAAAATAAAATAAAATAAAATAAAATAAATAAAATAATTAAAAGAAAATAATTGAAAAAAAAAGAAAAAAAAAGAAAAATGCCAGCCTGATTTAAGGCTCCTGGCATTACTCTGCTGTCTTGGCTGCTGAATTTTACCTCAAAATCTCTAAAAAAAATTAGTGCAGCTTAAGCACAGCTCAGCAAGAAAAAAAGTCCAATAATTTGACAGAAATGCTCTGGCATTTGATGACATTCTGTGCTGGCCTAGGGAAGATGCAGTGAGAACACCAGCTGATCACTTGGATCATCCCAGGAGAACCAGGGGAATTCCTGCAGGGCTGACCCAATCAAACACCCCAGTGCTGGAATTAATTGTGATTTCACTAATTTCCTGCTCAGTCTCAGCAGCCCCTGAAATTGTAGCCATTTATCTGATAATCTAATCTACCTAAAACTCAGGATCTCTTCTGATTTCAATCCAGGGTATAAGCACATCCCCTTTTTGCACATATATGGCACAAAATGACAAAGGAGGCAGATTTGGAAAGCAGAAGCATGATTTTCTTTTATTTTCTGTACTCAGCAGTCCTTCCACAAGTTCACCTCTGCTTTCTGCTCACCCAACACCTTCCCCTCGCTCCTGCTGCCCCAGGAGAAGATTTAATCTTTGTGTAGTCCCAGTTCAGATGTGCCAAACCCATATTTATAAAGTATTCACCAAGACCATAACAGAAATTACCTTCTTCAATAAAAAATTGCTGATTTTCTTCATTCCACCTGGGCCTACTACAAGGAAATCTTGATTTCCCAAGTAAGCAGCAAAAAAATGATAAGTTACATGTGGTATACACAATGCTCTGCTCCAATTTAAATCCATCTGGGTTTATATTATATTGCAGGGATAAAATCCAGCCACTTTTCTGCATAGGATCAAGGCCTACCTTCCATTTCCACATATACCAAGGATTATTATGCTTCAAAGAGAAAATGTATCCATGATCACATTTCACCCCCAGACTGAAATTGTTTTTTCCCCTTCATATTCCTTTTCTATCCCTTTTATATATTAAGTTATAAGCTGGTTTTATTTTGTTTTTCCTTGGCTTTGGGAATTTCTTGTCAGATACACCAGCTGTTCTCGTGCCATGATTATATACATTTAAACATCACAAAAAAAGCAAATTAAATTTAGCACACAAAGCCTTTTGCTACACAAGTTTTCTCAAAACAGTCTTTGAGGTTGTTTTATGTTGTTTATATGAATATAATTGAATTTTTTTTTTTGGATATCTCAGTGCCACCCTGTATACAACCTACCCTAGAGGTCTTGAAATACTTACTTGAAATATTGTCCCTTTAACATGCAGCATTTACCTAAAGGGAGAATGATTAATCACCAATATCACCTTGAACTCTGCTTTTATTTTTGCTGGCTTCATCTTCAGAAGCATCAAACACAGGAAAAGATCCACACAAATGTGGGAAAAGTGAAGAAAAGCACAGAGGGTTCCATGCACGTGTTCAACGTTAAGGAATAGGTTATTTTCTTTGTAAAAGGGATTATTGAGGAAAGAATGCTTGTGCCACATAAATAAATGATGAACAGGGAAACAAAGCACTTCAGATATTTGTATAACACAAAATGAGGTGATTCATCAGGAAGCAAAATGCATCACTCTGCAAAGCCAATCAAAATGATAAATAACCATTCACTATTTTAAGGCGGGGGCACTGCTTGCTGTCTTCAAAGTTCTCTTTCCAAAAAACATCTTCACAATCAAGCCTGAAAAGGCGAGTTTCTCTCTGCTTTATGCTTTAGGTGGCACAGAGATTTTCTAAATGCAGAATTATGCAGCTTACTTGTCCTTTCCTAGACAAAAACCTCTTGCCAGGGTGAGAACAAGCGGAGAAGGACGCACAGAACTCTTTCTCCACTGGGCTGGGGATCATTCAGCAAAATTTAAATTGCCTGTCTGAGCAGGCATGGCTGATAACAAACTGCAGGCCAAGGGAGGAGCATTTATTTCAAATTTGTGCTGAAATGCACCTACCTGCTGCCGAATTTCTTCTTCCATCTTCACTGGGGACCCCAGCTCTGCCACTTGTTTGACTCCTTCGCTGGCATATCCTCCATACTCCCACAGGATGTAATTCTTGGAGTGGGAGCTGCCAATGATGGCAGACCAGTGGTTGGTGCGTCCTTTGCAGAGGATAAAAATAAAACAAAATAAATAAGAACCATCGAGGCAGCCTCAAAGCCAAATTCCTGGCTTCTAATAAAGTTTTGAAGTCCCCACTCCTGAGGTTTTTTTTGCTGCTGCGTCTCACTAGAGCAACACTCATTTTTAGAGTAATAAAAACAAAGTGACTGACAGAAATCGAGCATAAAGCAGCCCCTGAAAACAAAATAGGCTTAGAAGAGTTTTTCCTCACCAAAGATCTCGGGAAGTTTGAGCAACCTTTAATTTTAAGTTTCTATGTCTAATATTTTTGCAAAAGAAACCTGCAGGGGAAAGCTTCACTGGTCACCCTCAGTTTTAAAAGCAAATTTTTTTTCCTTACTGAAGGCAGTGAAGAAGTAAATTTTTCTGTATTCACTGAGTTTTCTCGCTCAGATTTCTCATCATGTCAGAGCTTTAGAGATAAGCAAAAGGATTCTTGTCTTGTTGAGCAAAAAAAAACAAATAAAAAAGGAAAAGTTTAAAGAAAAAAATCTAAGGGAAGTATGATGGAATTGAAAAGAGAATTGAGCAGAAGCAAGGAGTGAGAAGTCCCACAGTCCTGGAAATAAAAATGAATTCACTTAAGTGTCAAGTAACCTTCTGCAGATCTTAAAAGGTGAGAAAATGAACTGCTGACATGAGCAGACAGTCTGGTAACAAGGCAAAGACTGCAGCAGGTGAGGGACTCAGAATGATGGAGTGAGACAATATTGAATGTTTCTCTTTGCGAGGGGAAAGGGAGAGAGCAGCACTAAAAACAGCTGCAAACTGAATAAACGGATGAAAAATGAATAATGAAGTAAATAAAAGGGATGCAAATTTAAGATGTGAGAGGTGGAACAATGAAATTGAAAAGGACAGTGCAGAGAATTGTATACAGTCAGATGCAGGAACCTAATCATGGGAGAGTAGAAAATAGATTAGAAATAAAAAATGAACAACAGCAGGGGGAAAAAAGCTAGAAAAATGTAAGAAGCAGAATAGATAGCTGAGGGATATGGCCTAGCAGAGCCACAAACAGAGCCTTCATCGCTTCCCTAGTCCTAAAATACACTTATTTTGCTCTGAGTTGCAGCAGTCCTGATGTTTTCAGAAACAACTAAAGCAAATCCATAACTGAGACCCAGGAGTGGAAAAAACCAAACCCAAACCTTCCCTCCTCCATAGCTGCAAGGTCAGAAGCTGGTTTCTTGACTTCTAGAAGTTCTTCCTTAAATATATGTTTATTTCTTGTGATTTATTTATTATTTATGTTATAAATATCTGTCAAAGCCCAGAGAGATGTTGTCACTCAGCCCCAGGGATGGGAACTCCAGCTTGGCCCTTCCTCTTCCCTGTCCCACAAGCCACGGGCAGCAGCTCACCCTGGGAGAGGACAGCAAGTGACACCAAAGCTGTCTGAAGGAGAATGGTCCCTCCAGAACAAAAATGTGTCACCACAGCGATGCCCAGAGAGGCTCCCTGGGACAGGGGCTGGGCAGAGTTAAAGGAATAAAGTGGGGATTTATTAAAGAGGGTTTCAGAGGATGCAGCTTGGGCAGGGCAAGAGCCTGGCTGAGGATCCACCCAAGATGGACCCAAGCTGGGCCCTGGGTCAGGAGTTTCACACTTTGATAGGTTCTGGTCCATTTCCACATTGGGCTGAATTGCCCAATTGCAGCTGCAGGTGATGCAGTCCCATCCTCCCAGATTGCTCTCCTCAATTCCCTGCTGCTTGTGCTTTTTGGGCCCGGAGCTGCCACGGTGTCCTTGGCTGTGGGGCTGGAGAAGGATTGTTGTGTGTGCCTGAGCTGTGAGGAGAACTTGAACACTTTGTGTGGGGTTCAGATCACACAGCAATGCACTGCAGGGGCTGGAAATGGGAAAGCTGAAACTGAAGGCATCAACAGAGAGGAACCTGAGTGCCTGGAAGTCTTTAGTCCAAAGGATAAGGGATTGTTCCCTGTGCTCCAAAGCTTCTCTCCCTCCCTGCCCTGCCCAGGACAGGAGCACCTGGTGCCTTTGCAATCAGAGCACAGCCTGTTCCACCAAACCCTCCCGAAAGACATCAACTCTGCAGAGAAACCTCCTGGCCCACCCACCCTGCTGGAGTCTGAGACACAGAGTTTGTGCCCTTGTCTCTGAGATCCAGGAGAACACTGAATTTCTACAACATGACATTTATGGGCATGTTTTCATGGTGATACATGAAAACAACTGTTAGAGTTGGATAGAAAAGCTAAAAGTGTGAGTGTGTAAATTAGAGAGTTCTCTTAAGTCACTGGGTGAAAAAGTTAGTTTAGAGTTTAAGTTAGTTTAGAAAGCAGAAGGTAAGGTGGAGGATTTAGACTTGTTTCTTTTCTTCTTCTTCTTCATGTTCTTCTTCCAGAGGTTTTTGGGTAGCAATGAGTGATTGGATAGAAAATGTCACAGTGCAGCACTCAGGTGATGGGTCATTGGGTCACTAAGAAAAATAATTTACGAGTCTATTGTTAATTTGATAAAAATAAGTATAAAGATAAAAGAACTGCATAGTTCAGGGCCATTTTGTGCATCAGAATGATATGTGCCAGGTTATGGTGAATTAAACTTGTGCAGAAAGTCTGGAGAGACCTGCCAGGTTTTGTGATATCATCCTAATAAACACGAAAAACAAGATCCTAACGAGCTTTGGAGTTTTCTTCTGACCCAGAGAACTGAGATAAGTGGGACTCCCCGTGAGGGAACATCCCTAAGGAGCTCAGCCCAGAGAAGCTGAGAAATCCAGGAGTGAAAAGAAGTGCAGAAGAAGCACAGCAGCAGAATCAGAAAGAAAAATAAGAAACAAAGACTTTTAAAGAAGTTATGCACCCGCCCAAAGGAGCTGCTCCAAGTCCTTCCACAGCCACCCTAAACTTCTCACCAAACTCTGCTACGTCTGCAAATGCTCCACTCCTCACCTCCAACCGTGCTCCTCTCGTGAGAACGGAGAGAAAAATTGATATTTCCTAAGCTTTTTGCTCAAACCATCAAAGAAACCTCTCTGCATGACACGACCTGAGCGGCACGAGTGGTTTGCACCCACTGTCACCAAGCAAGCAGAGCTCTGACAGCTTTCCAGTGCTGTTATTTCACTTCATTCTTGTAGTTTTGAGCAGTTTCTCAATTTCTCAAGATGCTTGTGTGTGTTATTTTTGCAGAAAAATCGAGGTGCCATCACAACCTGAGAATTTATCCTCTGACACATCCCACAGATGTGCTCGTATCACGTCGTGATGAAGTGCACGTGGATTTCTGTTGTCAAAAATGGGTGATACACAAAGAAAATAAATGCTTTGCACAAGGTGCACGTTCTTTAGGGTTTTTTTAAACCAAATCAGAAGATAAAGATGCAAAATATAAAGTTCATGATCTGCTTTCTATTGCAACCTTATTGATGGTACAAGAATAGAGCAGAATTTTTTATGTGGTGGCTTGGCAAATAATTAGTGATTTCCCACAGTCCACAATGAATAAAATTTTATTTTAATGTAATTACTGCACAATCTCAACATTTTTAAGAATGACACCAATGAATAGGTTTCATTTTTATAGATCACTATATCTGGATGAGATCTGTCCCTCAGCTTTCAGAAATTTTAATGCCAGGGCTTATTAGCTGTTATTGCTGGGATTAATTGTGTAAGTACATAATAATAAATGTAAAATAAAAAAAATAAAATAATAATAAAAAATAATAAAAATAAAAATAAAAATAAAAATAAAATAAAAATAAAAATAAAAATAAATAAAAAAATAAAAATAAATAATAAATAAAGAATAAAAATAAAAGTAAAAATAAAAATAAAAGCAAAAATATAATAATAATGATAATGATAATGATAATGATAATGATAATGATAATGGTAATAGTAATAGTAATAATAATAATAATAATAATAATAGTAGTACCAAAGGTATTTTTTTCACTTTTCCAGTTTAAGTAAAACTTTGATTTAATTCACCATTTTGTATCTGGGGAGAGGCAGCAGGCAAACTCTTGCAACTTGCTTATTTTCCATCATGCAGCCAATACCCTTCATGAGTTCACCAACTTGAATGTAAAAGACCATTTATTCCCAATATTACATCACCAAGCCACGGTAATTTCACAGCTTTCAGTCCTTTTCTCATGGCCTATTTCTAACCAGCAGCTGAATCCATGTAAATAATGCCCAGAAAGTTCACACTCAGCAGATATTTGAATTATCCAACAGCTTAAAAGAGCATCCCTGCAATTATTGGCTTTGCTCATTTTGTCTCCCCCCATTTATGCTGACCAATAATATTTGAAGAATGCTGTTAAAACTAGGAGCTGATACAAACCTTTCTTTGAGTTAAATGAGGACATTCTGACACTGTGGCAATAATAATATTTATTTTTTTAAAAATCAACATAAAAAACCCCTCTAATAAACATCAGCCACAGAAAACATAACAAGGTTTAAAGGCCTGTAAATGTGACTCAGATTCTTAAATACTTTCCTTTTTTCCCCCCAGACTGTGGAGTCAGGAATGAAAGACCACGTGCATAACACACAATTTTGTAACTTCAGCTTTTTATAGATGCTTGGCTAACTGCAGAAAGCAAACTTGCTACAAAAATACTGATTCTGTAGTTCAGAGCCTTGAAAAGCCAGAGAGGCCAAGTTCAGAAGGTGTTTTTTACCTGGGTACTCAACCAACAAAGACAAGGAAAACAGAGTATTCTAAATCTATACACACAATTAATATCCTCGGGCAGCAAGATCCAAAACTCACCAAATTTAACCAAAATAATTCAAAATACTTTTAAGTAGAACAAACTAGGCAAATTGGCATGGCTAAAAAAATCAAAATATTAGCGAGTTACCTGTCCTTTGTGGCCTTTTCCTTAAAATCTCATTTTCTACCTCCACATTATAAGCCATTCTGGGCTTATATTCTAAGCTATGTATTTATACCTTAGATATGGATGTAGATATAAATATAGATATAGATGATATAGATAGATATATGGATGTAGATTATATAGATATAGATACAGATATAGATATAGATATATAGATAGATATAGATAGATATAGATATAGATATAGATATAGATATAGATATATAGATAGATATAGATAGATATAGATATAGATATAGATATAGATATAGATATAGATATAGATAGATTAGATTTAGATATAGATATAGATAGATATAGATATAGATATATAGATATAGATATAGATGATAGAGATATAGATATAGATATAGATATAGATATAGATATAGATTAGATTTAGATATAGATATAGATATAGATTAGATATAGATTATATATATATAGATATAGATATAGATATAGATATAGATATAGATATAGATGATATAGATTATATAGATATAGATATAGATGATAGAGATAGAGATATAGATAGATTAGATTTAGATTATAGATAGATATAGATATAGATGATATAGATATAGATATAGATATAGATGATATAGATATAGATAGATTATATATAGATTATATATAGATAGATTAGATATAGATATGGATATAGATATAGATATGGATATAGATAGATATAGATATAGATATAGATATAGATAGATAGATAGATAGATAGATAGATAGATAGATAGATAGATAGATAGAAAGATATATTTGTCATATTCTAAGACAAAAAGAAAGGAACCTTTCTCCCCACAAAGATATCTTGCAAATACAGTCTCACGCACACCTTAGCTCAAAATGTCAGGCAGATCAATAGAATGTATAATGTAATGTATAGTGCAGACAGATCCATTGATTTTCAGTGCTGAGTGCCAGCAGGATTCCCTATATGTCATAATTTACACTGCTGAGCTGTAAATAAGTGATGCTGTGCCACACAGTCAGCTCCAACCCTCCTCAGGGCCCCTGTGTGGTACAAAAAAAACCAAAAAAAACAAAAAAGGAGTGGTACTCACGTGGAAAATCTTTGGGATGTGTTTTTTCTGACCAGTTTCCATAAAAAGTCAGCCTGTATTTGGCAGTACCACAGGCACAACAGTCTAAAATTGGTTTGTCAGTCACACCTTCCGAGGCTGAATCTGAAAAAGCATCAAAGTACCCATTGGAAAAGGCTACAACTCCAAAGCAGTGAGGAGAGTTATGATAGCATCCTAATAAACACAAAGTTTATTGTGTAAAGTTTATATTATATTACACAAGGTATATTGTGTAATATTATTATAATATTTATATTATATATGTAATATTTATATTATACACAAAGTATATTGTGTAAAGTTTATATGTGAAGCTGTCACAATAAATACTCCAGGGAAGTAAATCTGAGTTAAACATGGTTTGTTTGGTATATTTTTTAGTTTGAAGTTTACTGTTAGACTAAACAACCCTGAATTATCTGTATCATATTTATGAGTGGATGGAATGATTCAAATCCACAATTTTCAATAAGAAGGCATTAATATTTCAGTTATCTTCAGATTCAGAAGGGGTTTGTTTCTGGTTTTTATCTGATAAGGACAAACCTCTGTTGATCTCAAAACACAAAAGGCTTGAAATTTCTGAACAGACCAAGTAAATGAATTCTCCAGTGGGATACAATAAGCAGCTGTAACATTTAGGTTTAGGAAAGGATTAAATAGCCCAAAGTGCCCTGGAAACCAATGGGAATCACACAAAGGTAAAAGGTTTTAATTATCACATTTAGGGGCAGGCAAGGAAGATTTTATGAGATGGAGAATATGTGATAAGGAAAAACATAACTGAATGGAAGATCCCAAATCTGAACCTGCACGAAACTGTCCAAGACCTGCAAATTTTAGTTTGAGACAATGGGTTAAGAGAAAAATGCAAAACACAACGAGGAGGTCAGAAAGATGTTTTACTTTACCTTACCTTGTTCACAAATTTTTTTGGTGAGGGAGCCCTCATCTTGAAAATAAATGATGCGCTTCTGCACAATACTGGCTCTATAAAGGGGAGAAAAAAAGAAAGTTTGAAATGGTTATTTCTCAAAGAAAAAAATAAAATGGGTGATAAATGACTGCCTAAGACATGGTTACACTTCCCTGTGCTGACAATATAATATGGGATTACACATAAGGTATTTTTATTTCAACTTGTAATTTAATTTCATCCCATTTTACAGAAACCTGAGATATATTTACCTCTAGAGAAGCGGTCATAGGCATATGGTGAGGACCTGTGCTCTTGAAATGCATGACAGTCAACTGAGCATCCAATATTTCAGTCAAATCTTATATTAAAATACTGAAGTTGCATTCAATTTCAGTCAAAGAAAAAAAAACCCAGCAGAGCTGTAGTGAGCAGCTGTTCATAGGAAATTACACAGCATTCCAAAGAGATAAGTACTTCTGATATATGACAGCAACCCAAATATCACGCAAAACAGAAGTTAGAAAAAAAAAAAAAAAGCTGGCATAAGGTAAAGTCTTTGAAAGCAATTCACAGGTTCCAAAAGACAAGCTGCTTTAACATTAATTAAATCTGGAATATTTTATTCAGGCTTGTAGTTCAAACAAAATGCAAATGTCTAAGCCTCGGTGCCTCAGTTCCTCAGCTGAGGGGGCTGGATATGTTTAGCGCCAAATGAACTTTAACCACCTTCTTTGGCCATTTTGTAACAATTTAATTCATGTGCAAACTTGATCTTCTTTCCATAAGGAAACAGAATTTGGTTGAATTGAAAGCCAATCTATGGCCAGAGCAGGCTTTGGGAGCTGGCACTCCTCCTTGTTTACCAGAACAAGTTCTTCCAGCAACATTTTGTACCATCACTTGTGTTTAACACTCCCAACAGCAAGGGCCAGCTTTTTCTCTTAATTCACTATTAGTCAATTAATTATCTTAATCTTTCTAGAGCCATTCCTCACTCATGACAGCTGAGGTGAGAGGAAAAATGAGACTGCATGTGCTTGGATGTGCTGTAGCAGCCGTGAAACCTTCCTTTGACAACATCCCACCCATAAAATTATCAAAAATAAGATGCAATTCTCCTGTGCTGTCTTTGGCAAAGATGCAAAGGGAGGATGAGATGAGAGAGGGAGGAATCCTTCTTCTCACCTTACAAAGCACCAGGGAGAATAATTGGGTTTTGCAAACCTCTTAAAGCTCCATCAACCTGAAAAGGGTGCAAAAAACTCTTAATCTTTTCTGAGAAATCTTTTCCAGGGTTTCTAACAAGAAATAAAAGGGAAAAGAAATTTAACAAACATAACCAGCAGAGCTACTGCTAGGAAGAAAAAGAGCCCAATGGCCAATCTGTGATAGTGGCAGCTCCTTAATGTTTTCAGCCTTCAAACTGAAAGCCAAAGCCAAATTTAAAGACTTTTTGGATGCTACACCACAAGGAGACAGAAAGAAAGCAAAGCCATGCAGACACAAGAGAAACCTCTCTCACAGTGAGGAGAATCAAAGAGATCTAACCCTGGAATGGGCTGCCTGGACAGTTTGTGCAACATCCATCTCTGGAAATATCCAAAACTTGATCAGATCCATGCCTTGGCAAGCTGAGGGAACAACCAAACTGATGTTCAACACCTGCTTCGAGCAGGAGAATGGACTAGATGACTTCCAGAGGTCCCTCCCAATCTAAATTACTCTGTCATCTCAATCCAAACAAACCCAAAATCAGCTGTTGGATGAAGATCTCAGTTCTGCAGATAACAAAGGCATTAAGGGTATTTGAGAAGCAGCCACCAGTTCTTTTAGAAAAAAAAGAAAATAGAGAAAGATGGTTTGAAGCCTGAAGTGCACTTGTATTATTCTTTTTGCTGCAGTTAGCTTGTCACTGTAAAATGTCAAGGGAACAGTTCCCTTTTCTAATAACAAAAGCTTCACAGCTTTCTGAGTCATTGTCTCTTCAGCTGTGTTTGAAACTATATGGTGAGCCAACAATTTAAATGGGAGGTTTTGTACTGATTCCAAATGCACCAGGATGGGCACATTAGATGGTGCATAAATATCAAAAGCAGGCACAGAGCTCTGCAAACACTCAATCATAAATCATTTTAAAATATTAACTGTTTTAATAATCAGCTTCTAGACTGAACACAGACAAAAACATCTGCTCAGTGCGTTTTCTAGCTTTTATAGCTACTTTTCTTCCCTTATTTGATTCATTTTTGGACATTATTTTTATTACTCTATAGAAGTTCTGACCTCTGGACTAAGGATTCTTTCTTTTGGCTTCGAGGCTTACGAAAAAACAGCTAAAAATGGAATGGCAAACTTCTAGAGAGAAGCAAGAAAGCTTTTAAGAGTTTACACAAGGTACACATCTGTTTAATTTACATAAATCCTCCCACCACTTCAAAGGTCCAGTGCAGTCTGAACTTCATGGGAAAGGAGCAATCCAATTGCTTTCCCTCCCATATTAATGGATATAAATGGATCTTCAATTTCTTGTTATTCTTGCTGACATTTTCCTCTCTGACTATCAGAAAATGATGGGTAAAGGCAAAAGGAATTAAATTTGACTCAAGAAAACCCTGTTTGTTTCCCATTTTCTTCAAGGCAAGGCTTCTGGATTTGTGCTAAAGCTTTTCCATCACCAAACTAAGGAGCAAGACCGTAAGGCACAGGCATTCCCACACCTGACAGCACCTGCTCTAAGAAGGAAAACCAACCAAATGGATTGTCCAAAAAGTGCCATTATTTCTGTTTTTTTTCTGTTGTCACATGAAAAGGAAAGAATATCTGAATATCTGGTTACTTGTGTCAGATTTGCTTTGGCAGCACCACTTTGGAACGTGCCTGTCCTGGCTGGGTTTGGACAGGAGACACCTGAGGGCAGAGGGGAAAATCTGCCTGGAAAGAATTCCAGGGAAGGAGGAAGAATTCCATTCATGGGAATGAAACTGCAGCCCAGCTCCACAACAACTGCACCACCCTGCTGGGAAAAAGCTCTGCCAAACACACAGAAATTGCATTTGGGATATTAAGAAACAGGAAATGTCATAAACCATAAAAAAATTCAGGCCAGCCTTGGGAATGCTCCAGTTCATAACCAGAAAGAGTCAGTTTGGGGTTCTTTCTTTTTTCCTTTTCTTTTCTTTTTTTTTTTTCCATAGAAACAGCTTTAGATTGTTTCCCTCACTCCTTTAGTCAAATCCTAGCATGAAAAGAAATACTCTTTATTTTAAATTACCTCTGTGGGTGTAGTGATGTGACAAAAGTAAGGAAGAGGATTTGTAAGAATTGTTCCTATGACATTTTTTAAGCTTACATCAAAACCATTAAGCACAATATTAGAGTTACATTTGAATAAAACAGGTTTTGTCAGAACTGCTGAAGATACTCCAAGTTTTACTTGGATGTTGAGAAATAATAATAATCTACTGAGTTGCAGATAAGACAGTTTTCCTGCTCTGCATTACCTGTGAGATAACCTTGTCTTGCCCTTTAGCTATCAAAATTATTTTCTTTAATTATTCCATGCCTCACTGATTTAATTACAGTATGATAAGTTGTTCTCCCCACCCCCAGAAAGCTGCTGAGAACAATTAACAGCATGTTAATTTTGTTTTCTTTTTTGGGTTTGTTGGTTTTGTTTTTTTGGAGAGAAGGAATTTCTAAATATACCATTTATTTTAACACTAGAAAAGGATGTGAAAACCATGAATTTACATCTGCTGTAATTTTGTTGATGCTACAGGGTTTTGTCATTTGAATGTATTATTTAGGATATTCTCATTTTATTTCCTTCTATGTTGTCTTAAATAAAAAAAACAACTCTGTGTTTTTGACAAGCACTTACAAGGTCAGGGAAAGCACAAACTCCCAGCAAAAAATTACTTCTTTTTCTAATATTTAAGAGACTTTTATTAAAAAGAAATCAAAATTCCTCTGGAGGCCTATACAACCCTTTAGCCAATCGATGTCCAACAATTCATACACTGTATATTTGTATATTTATATTTATTTGTATATTAATGGTATATTTGACAACCAAATTCTACAAAGTAATTTTCAGTTAGGACAAAAAATTTGGAGCAAACTGCTTCATTCTTAATGCATAAAAAAATGATTATATTTTTATGCCTTAAAAAAGCATCTTTCATTGCCATTTTGTGTTGTTTGCTCATCAATTTGCTTTTAAGTGTGTTGTTAACACAGGTTAAACAAGCCAGCCACACTTGGTGTTTGATGTTGGATAAAACACAGCAATATTAACATGAATTTTACCAGTGTTGCCATAATTCCACATTTACACCCCTGCATAGGATTAGAATCTTTCCTCCTGTGGATTAATCCCACCAAAAACAATAAAACATTCTCACTTCTAAAATCTTTGTGTGCAAACACACACACACACCAGAGCATCCTTCTTCAGGTTGATTTTTAAAACATTTCACATCTGCTGTCAGAAATGCAATTCAGAGAAACTCCACAGCAAGAGCAGAGCACTAAAACTTTTATTCCTAATTTGACCATCATATTCAATATATGAATATGATACAACAAAAAGCCCTGGGGGAAAGCACAGCTGTATCACACGCTGCTATCTTGTATTTTTCCTCAGAAAAATCTCTCTGTTCTTTGCTTGAATGGCCACAGGACATAAATATTAAATGAGAATCTTCAGGATAAAAAGTTGTGCTGACACGATAATTTCTGACAGGAGCGCTACACCTGTTACTTGTAAAAAAAAAACAAAAAAAAGCAAAGAAACTAAAAAAAAAGCAACATCACTTAAAGCCCATTGCTGTTCATGGGCTGTATCTTCACCAGGGATTTGGATAGTCCCCACTTTTTGCAGCAATATCTTTGAATTTCAGAGCTAAGCATTATAAATCACACTGCAAAGGAAAGTCAGAGCAGGTTGGGTAGGACTGGGTGTTTGGAGGGAGGATTTATCTCCTTGTTCTAAGCAGTGTTTTTGTAGAGTAGATGGAAACAATCTGCCAAAGGGGGGATTCCAGGGGTTTTATTTCAGCTAGTGAGCCCA